TGCAGAGTTGTCTCAAGGAAATAACGTTGTGCAGCTTTCAGCCTTTGCAAAAAGGTTAAATGCTGCATTTACACTGCATCTCATTTATGACATTGAATAAATTGGCTGAATATGCATAACTATTACTGGACTTGCTTGAGATGCTGCGGCAGGCCAACAATTTGAATATATACGTTTTATTTTCCCCAAGTAGAAAATGTAGGACAAATGAATGTATTTATACATGCTGCGTAAAGTAAGACAAATAAGACAAAACAACGAGGCACAAAGCTGATAGACCATGTAAGTTATGAGTGCCGGTGCCTTAGGCAGACTCAAGGCTACTGTCACAGCATTTGGTCATGGTGTGCAACAAGGCCTTTTTTTTTGCAAACAGATGGGGGGAGGTCTAGATCACACAAGCTTTGTATCATCATGGGGCTTTTCATGTCTGTAGTGATCAGCTTTCCCGGCACCAAAACCGTGAACCTTTACCTTTACCTTTCCCGATCCCCAGTGGGATTTTTGAGACCAGCCGATCTTTGTAGAATATACGGCTTTATACTGAAGAAGCAGCAGTAATTGAGAGGATGAGAGGTTTGCCACTGCAGCAGAAACCTTGATGCTTTGGTTCTGTGTGACACCAATAATAATGGCTGTTAGTTCAGTTGCCACATTTCAAATTCGGGTTGGATAGCACAGAAGTATTCTAATGAGAGACTAGCCTTGTTGCCCAGTGAATCATGATGAACTCAAGGTTTCACAGATGGATACAGATGTTATCTAATGTTCAGAAACTTGTATTATATCAACTCTCCTTCATCTGAACCATTTCATTTTCTTATTTGATCAAAACATGAACATTATCACTGTAAGAATAGTCAATGCCTGATATGCACTATATCCTGGTTAGTTATACATTCATTCATAAATTCTTCATTTTTAAATAGATGGAATAGATTAGAGGAGTTGCAGTAAATTACAATACTGAATCATAATAGACGAAGGAAAGTGTGAAAATAATTGATTATGCAGTTGTACCCAAATTAAAATGCAAATTTCTGTTGAAAAACTATAAAGATATTTATTTAAGAAAGACATCAAACAAATCCTACAAATACAATAAAAGATGTAAAAAGGCACAGAGCATTGAATACATGTAAAAGTGTAACCTCTTTCTCTTTGCTGTCAGTTCTAAAGTAAGAACTCTGATGGGTTTGCACGGTGCTGCAGTATGTCCTAATGGTGATTCATAATTATTTGTATAAAGAACTGTTAAATGGAAACAGCTTCATGGCTGAAAGAGATAAGGAGCTGCAGGCAAAAGAAAAGTGTCGTAGTATATTACCCACAGTCTTGGCGGTGTTTTCACCAGTTTGGTCTAGAATTTAAATTGATGAGGACTTAGCATATTTCTGCAGTGTTGTTGTTGGGGCCGTATGTTTAGAAGGCATTTCACTTCATGCTGTGGTTCTGCAAATAGAAGTTCCTAGACTGCAGGGGTAACCAGTGGGGTAGGAAGAGAGGCTGCTCTGGAAGATGACCCCAGCAGTCAGCTCACATTAACAGCTGAAATATGACTAACAAGGCCCTGACATTCCAGGACAGCCAGCTGTGCTTATTCCACATTCTTCTTCTTGCCCTCATATTCATGCACATACAAATACACAATTAGAATTGCTAACATTCATAATTGAAAACGTCTCACACACACACACACACACACACACACACACACACACAAGAGATTTATGTTTTTGTTGATGACTGCACGATACGACAGCTTAGGGCCAATTTTATCCTCTCAATTTTGCTAATTTAAAAGCAAACAAATACCGATAAAGCACATGATCGAACATATAATGATGATGTAGAGCTCATTAGGTGTACAGTGTATATTTGACAGGGAGATCATGATTGGTTTGGGAGTGATTGGTTGTATGATTTTGGAATAGCCACAAGAGGGAATTTTACTTATTGGATTAGAGATTTAAGAATCACCAGAAACTAATCAAACTGAGTGAACTGACTTGATCAAAGGCCGGAGTGAAGTAACAGGTGTGTGTGTGTGTAGGTGTGTGTGTGTGTGTCTGTGAGTTTGATAGAGAGAGAGAGACAGAGAGAGAGAGAGCGAGAGAGAGAGAGAGAGAGGGGAGTTCCGGGACCAGGTGGCCTTTGAACAAACTTCATTAGTCCTTTTGAACACAAAAGGTTGAAATCCAAGTGCAAGCTGATATATTCATCTTCACCCACTCTCTGTCTCCTCACAGGTGCAGACCACCACCATGTGCATCTCCGTCAGTCTGAGTGGTTCGGTGGTTCTCGGCTGCCTCTTCGCCCCCAAAGTTCACATCATCCTGTTTCAGCCCCAGAAAAACGTGGCCTCACTGAGAGTCACAGCCAACCGCTTCAGTGCCACAGTGTCTGCTTCTGCCTCCGCTCCCAGCTCCAGCTACTCTAAAGGTACTACTATCCCTCCACTATATCTAGTACTCATCGCTCTCTGTAGTACTGTGAAGAAATTGTAAACGCCAGCACAAAGGTATCTGTGTTAATGAATGTTTCTGACTGAAAACTTCATCACAAATTTTGAATATGATCGCATATTTTCGGGCAATTTCAACTGCACTTTAACAGTGTTGGGACCATGAGTCCAGGTTTCTAAAATAGGATATAAGTAATTAGAATGTAATAAACAAAGAATTGCAACTTGAAATACAAGAAACATTCATATTTTGTAAAACACCACCAAAAATGTAGAAACAGGCAATATTGAATGTTTTTGTGTCAGTGTGGCTAAGCAATTCATATCCAGTGATTATGTTTATTTTCATGTTGGATAAGTAAGTCTTATCTAAAGCTCATTAATAAACCAACGATTAATTCACAGCGCAACATTATAAATAAGCACAGACACAAAAAGTTACAACTTTGCAGTTAAAGGGTTAATGCTAGTTTAACTGCTTCGCCTTGACTAAAGACATCTTAGTCATCTGAAAATGATCTTTTGATGTAATGATTTAGAACCATGACGTGGAAGTATTTAGACATTTTACTGAAGTAAAAGTGGAAATACAACAATGTAAAAATACTCAATTACAAGTAAAAATCCTGCATTTAAAAGTGTGTGTTATGCAGACAAACTGCCTCTGTGATTGTTGTATTGTTATATAATATACTGGATTATTGTGACAGATGCATTCATGTGTAAGTATCATTGTACTGTTGTAACTGCATAATATACTGGTGAGATCGTATGTTTTGTAAGTAGTCTTAACCAGCAAAGCAGCTGTCAAATACAGTAAATGTGTAATAATAAGAGGACTAGAAGTATAAAGTAAAATAAAACAGAAGCACTCAAAATTCTACTTCAGTACAATACTATATATATATATATATATATATAAATATATTAGTTAGTAGTTGCTTTCACTGAGAGCATTTAAACTGACATTTTTGTACCCTAACCAAGATAGACCTGTAGAGATCTGTGTCTGGTCATTTCCATACTTTCGCTAACATTTCAAAATGTCCTTCTGACATTCTTCTTCCAGGATCAGCCTCTAACTACGTGCCAGCGGTATGTAACGGCCGCGAGGTGGTGGACTCTACAACGTCCTCTTTGTGAAAAAAAGAAGCTTCCTCTCTAAGCACAAGAGACCATCCCGTCGTTACTCATCCCTCCATCAAACAGGGCTGTGTACAACAGAGCCCCCATTCCATCCAACACGCTACAGAGAGGTAACTCTGTCTGGGTAGACTGACTGACAGCAGCAAAGGGTCATTCTTAACTGTGAAAGCTACGTGATGTTTCTACAGCGAGCAGTATGTATCAATTGTAAAGCCTTTTTGTATAGATTTATTATTCTGTGATCTCGTTGGTTTACAGATATAGATGTGATTAAATGCACTGTGCCTTGTCCTAAAGAGTCTTGTTGTCAAATGGGTGGTTGTGAAGCAATAGTGTTATACAAAACAAAAGGCTGTTCTTATCTTGTCCTTAAAGTGCTGTGAATATATCCAAATGTTGTAGACATTGACAAAAAAAAAAAGCTATGAAATACATTTAGCCCTTCTGTTCTACAAAATATGTGACTAACCTTTGTGAACGTGATGAAAAGTAGGCAGATAGACAATATAAAGGAGGTGTGTTATTGTAGACTGGTATAACAGTGTGTGCTTTCCTGTAATTTATGGAAATAAAATGTTTTTTAATATTAAAAGATTAAATACTGTTTTGTTTGGGTTCACTCATGCAATTCTTGATACTATTATCAAACTAAATGCAGCTATTCAGAGACAACGGCTTTTGCGCACAGGTTTGACCCCCCCTCCCCCTACTTTAAAACCAAATTAACTTCCTTTAAAATTTCTTCAGTTGAATCCACTTATAGTATTGCTTCCAATGAGTAAAAAAAACAAACCGCTGAAGATGTTTGAGTTATCGTCAGGTGTAGCATGACGTTTAGGTCTGCTCTATTACAGACTTGTATTCGGTGCTCAGTAGTCAAAGCTATAACTATTGCTGTATCCATTAGTTGAGTATGTGCAATTATACATGTGTAGTGTCTATAACATGTATTCACCCAGGTTTTTCATCTTTTATACTGATTGGAGTTTCCTGATATTAAATTGTAATAACCATCTCTAAACAACCTGCCGACTGTCTGCCTGGTCTGTTTTTTACGGGTTACATGTACCTTAAGGAAACCTGCATCCCATCCAGGAGTGACTTTTACTAAATGAAAGGTGATTGTCAAAATGTTTAACTGTAAAAGTAGATATGTACAAACAATTGAATAATTAATATTTGTACGAGTGAAAAGGACAAGAACACTTCTACCGAAGCCAAAGAGGACACCTACTGGAATGTTGAAGAAAGTGCAAAACTAAACCGGCTTCATGATGTTAATCATCGCCTCTAATAAAACACTATTATCTGGGTTATGCTAATGATTCACTTCTTCTAATTAAAGGATTTCCACTTCTTTATAGTCAGTCAACAAATGTAAGAGACCATTTCAATCCAACTATAAAACTGACTGCTGGCCAGTCCTTTGAATGCAGATGTTAGTCAAAGACATTTTGCAAGAGTTAAATAACTCTGCAGGTCCTTTACCAACAGAGATAAAATTATCTCCTCTAGTTAATTATAATTTAATGTTTGGCTCCGACAGGCTGACAATATCCTACACAGAAGCAGTTACCAAAAACTTAACCCATGAATCTTGCTTTTTTATTTTATTTAAGTGAGGTTAACTTTTCCCAGCAGACAATTTGACAGAAACTTTCAGCAGAATTCTTAAAAAATAAAATGAAATAGTAGAAACACAAGTCTTGATCATACGGTATAAGTCTTGATCAGACAATAGTCTCTTCTCTTGTGTGGCCCGTGTCAGACACAGTTCACCGTGCAGACTCCTTCACTAAAGCCGTCAAAGCTTTCTCACAAACTAAAATCTTGAGGTTTTTGGAATTTCAATTTCTTCCTAAAAAAAAAAAAACAATGAGAACATGATACACCGGCAGTTTATAAACCTTTAATTTACAAAATAAAAGACACTTAACAGTCCACTATTCAGTTATCGTGGCTTCCTCTGGATTTGGAAGTTTCCTTTTAAGAGGAATAATATAGATCCCATTCCTGGCCTCTTTTAGTCTCCACCATCGTCCCAACCTGCAGAAAAACAAACAAACTTAGAGTCAGAGGTGACGGATACAAACAGACAACATCACCCAGATAGCAGCGCCTCAAACCTTTGTGGAGAAAGTGAATCATTGTCAATCAGACATCGAAATCAGAACAAACGCCACCTAATATTTAAAATGTCTGTGTGGGTTCCTTTCAATCAACTGACATCATCTCAAGCTACCATCACTGACAGACGAGAGATGGATAAACTGCCATCTAGTGGACATTTCATTCACTGAACATAAACCGGCCTGAAGTTACCTGTGCTCCTGTCCAACTCCTGCCACCAAGAACTGACCAGAGCTCGAAAACTTCAGACTGTTGACAAAACCGGACTGAGAGAGAAAGCAGAGGAAGAGACACAGCAAGGTATTTTGAGACGGCCATTGTGTTTGACAGGAATTCATTGTAAATAATGTGTACATCATCTCATGTAAACGTAACCATTTCCAAAAGAGCGGACGAAGAAGGAGCTTACCACCGGTACACTGAATAGAGGCTCCAGCTTGCGGTAATTCTGGCCACATTTCCACAGCTGCACCTGTGAGTTGTGTGAACCTGTACAGGAGAACAGTCGTAACGTTGCATCACTACAGACAACAGAACATCTTAAGTGCAGCTAAGAAAAACAAATGCATCAACTGCTCTACTTAAGAGTGTGCAGGGCACTTAATCAGGACCATGGTCATTCGTTTATTGATAAAGTTCATAAAAGACAGAATAAAGTCAATGTATGCGTGGTATTAAAAAGCTGGTAAGCAGGACTCTCACAGCCTTCAGAAGCACCTGAGGCGACGGTATCCGAGTTCTGAAGCGCCGCCACCGACGCGACCCAATGAGGCTGCTCCAGCCCTGCGTCACCGTGGCAACCGTGAGCCTTTTTCACCGTGCTGAGAGGCCTCTTCTTGTTGACACTCCACAGAGACACCGAGCTGAGGTGGTACAGAAAAATTGAGAGAGGGGAACACGGAAAAGAACCGTGAATGGATCTGGAATAACGCTGTAAAAAGTCAAAACAACGTGAGACTGCGAGAGCTGCTTCCGTCTTACCCGTCATCACCTCCCGTTATCATGTGCTCCTCGTTTATGAGCTGGATGCAATCAATCGAACCCCTGCAGGAAGACAGAATGGTGTCAAAGTGACAGATGTGCTGTTGCAACCACTACGGTCACAGTTCTGTAACGGTTAACCGAAACTAGTTTTGTCCAAAATCATTGCCACGGTCAACTCATTCACTACCTCTCTATATACCAGACTCAATAGTTTATCTGCAACTACTTCTAATCATAGCTGCTTTGTGACTTGTTGATTTGTTATCAGTTTACTGCTAATGAAGCTAGACACTGTAGTAGCCAATATAACATTCTACGTAACTGTTAATTACTGCTGTAAATACGTATTCTACTCTTGTGGATGTATACGTTAACAGGAGTTAATTACTATTTTGTACTCCGTATTCAGACATATTATTCTCTTATACTTGTATAATACTGTAGCAACTCAATTTACAACACAATTGTTCCATGTCTCGTTTGTGGTATATTTTTCTCATTTGGAAAGGTTGTCCTCTTAACTTTTATTGAACTTGCGCCGGATGTCTTTTATCGATTTCCCAAACTATGCTTTCTTTTCTGATGCTCATGCTTAATGTTATATTACGTGCCGTCATATATGGTTGTTGACGTTCACTTGATATTTGTTTATGTTCTTTGTGCAATAAAGGCTTTATTTAGTCATTTAATCATTGCCACTATCGTGTATCTGATATAATATTACATTTGGAGCTGTGAGCGCAGCTACTTTCCATCCAGGGACTTCCTGGTTAAATAAAAACCGTTAACCCGTCACTGCTAACTCACAAAATGTCTGGGTTGTTTTAACCTTGGAAAAGTAATACTTGACAATTATGAAATGTTTCCCGTAATAAATGTATGTGCAGCACTGTGGTTTTATAACCATCGACAAACGCATGTGAAATCAAAAAGGTGCAAACAGGGAGACGTAAAAACAATGGACGGACTCACTCGTGTCCGTGGAACACCAGCTGAGATTCCTCGGCTATCTTCCACACCCTCACCGAGCGGTCCCTCCCTCCTGCCGTCACACAGAGCTCTCGGCTCAGGCTGTCCAGTCCTGTGATGGCGTCCTGATGCCCAAAGCTACAGCGAATCACAATTACAGTTAAAATCAAACTTTCAAAACAAATTCCGGCGTTGGGCGGCGAGATAATTATTTATTTTCTGATTAGTTACTCACAGAGTTTCAACATATGCGTTCTCGTCCACATTCCACACCTTGACTGAGCGATCGTGAGAGGCGCTGTACAGATCATGAGTTCCCCTCCTGAATGAAAGACCCTGAGAAGAAACAGACACTTTCGTTTCACAGGAGGTCCTCGGAGCGACAGTATCTACACAACTTATAAGATCTTATTCCATGTAACAGAGAGAAAGGAGGGAGAACGTACCGACACAGGGCCCTTGTGTCCTGTGAATTTATAGAGATGTTTACATGTTTCTGCCTCCCAGATCATGATCAGTTTGTTCATGTCTCCAGTGGCCTAAGAAATGTAGAGAAATAGGATTCTTAAAACATCAAGTCGCACTTTGGCAAACTGCTGGCAAAAGCAGGATGTGCTGAGAGAGTACAACTCACCAAGTATTTTCCATCTGATGAAATGGCCATACACAGGATATGGGCTGTGTGTCCAACATGCCGATCCTCTGTACCTTTCCTTCCACCAGGTATTGTGTGCAGTTTCTTCCCACTCTCAAAATCCCCTGAATAAATAAGAAAAACACTGAATTAAGACGGACATATTAGCCTCAGAAACAAATCATTGTTTTCTCCCCCCTCAAATTTCATACATACTTCCCTGAAGTATCAAAAACGATTTTAAATGTATACTAACATTTAATGATGGAGCAGTCTTTGGCAGCAGAATAGATGTACTTGTCATCAGAACTAATGACCAGACAGGTAATTGGAAGTTTGTGTCCTCTTAACACCCTGATCTCTGAAGCATCCGGTGGAATGAGCTAAAAGACAGAACAAATATGAATTAGGATTCAGTCCGTTCATAAGAATTACATTCTGTGGAGATTAAAGGAATGAAAATTTCCATTCTTACATCTTTGGCAATGAATCGCTGAAGCTTTCCTTTTTGTTCAAGCTGAGGGGGAAAAAAACACATCATACACACACCACAAGATCAATAACTATTATTAAACATATTAAATCCCAAAAAGAAAAACTGTCTAAGATCATGACAGAGGTTTAGTTCGAAAGTCAGTTGAGACACAATGAAGTAAAACCCCCAAAAAACACTTATACTTTGACAGATTAAACAGTATTTACTTCTAAACAGTGGACCATGTTCATCACAATTGCTTCATAGTGATTCAGAGCTTCATATCCCCACCACTAGTGGCAGTACCTTTACCATGACAAGTGTCTGCAGATCTTTCTCTCAAGCCGAGAGAGGCAGCCTACATGTAGCCTGAGAAGTGCAAAGCAGGGGAAATTAACTCCACACTAAACCCATTGGTGCAGCTTTCAACATCTCTATCTGCTCAGGGATCCACTCATCTGGATAATGGTAGCTGTTTAATAAGAGGATCGTGTTTAGAGTGATTTAATGAAAGTTTTGATTCACCGCAAAGTCACAAACCATGGAGATGTAGGCAGAATATGATGGAAACTACCATAAAGAAACTGGGTGAAGCCAATCGTAGGCGATTCTCGGAGAGTTTTAGCTTATATTTCAATTTCACAAAGGGGGGGGTACGACATGAATGGAAACGTGAGACTACCTCTCAGCATTGTAAACATGTCCCACGTTATACCACACAAACTATTTGTCCTACATTTGGTAGGTTTGGTTCTGGTCACCCTCGTCATGTCCCCAGTGGTAATTACATTCTTGCGTACTATGTGCATTAACACAGAAGACGCTCTCACCACTTCTTCTTGAAGTCTTCCAGCAATCAGATCCGTCTCAAAGAATTCCTCTTCTGCTTTATCTTCCTCTGATGAGATCAGATCACACAATAAATACATACATACTGGCATAGAAGTACTGTTAGATCTCTTAGTTATGCTGTGTGGATAACACAAGTGTACCTTCTTCCTTTAGCTGTTCGAGGTAGAGTTTGGCCAATCTAAGCTTCTTCTCCTGTGGTGTTTCGTCGTAATCATAATCTTCATTGGACTGTCTTTTCCTGGGCACTACAGGACTGAGCGACAACAAACAAAGTCACAAATGTACAACTGCTTTCAAATCGGGACTGCAAAGTGATCATTAACGCATAAGCCGGAGTGAGCACGTGAGAAACTAACCCCTCTGTCTCAGAGTCGCTGGAAATCTCTTCGTTGTCTCTGAAGTTGGGTTTCTTGGCTCGCAGCTTACTTTTACCGCCCGAGTCCCCATCGCCCTGCAGCAGGAGAAACGCAATGTAAAGGTTGTAATGGCGTACAGTGATGCTGCATTAGTGGCTGAGTTAGAACAGCAGGTAAGACCAGGTCCAGTCGCATGTGTTAACCTGCTGGTAAGCTAACGTTACTCGATTTAGCTTACTTGCTAACAGACCAGTTCACTTACCTTTCGTTTGAGCACCGCTGTATTTTTCCCCTTTTTGGCTAATTTTGGGTTTTCTTTCTTCTTATTAAAGAAAGGCGAAGACATTTTGAAACGCGTTTCAAAGTAACCGCTGACTGTATATAGAGTTAAGTCCTCAACTTTCTAAGAGAGCAAGTCAACATTGGACCCACATGGGTTCACTTCAACCAAACTATGCAGCTGAAGTCACGGTTGAAGACGGACGCTGATTGGCCGATCGTCACAGTTCCTCCTACATGTCCCGCCTTTTGTTAAAACTCTCAATTCCCATTGGTTAAATCACGAATTTAAGATTAACAGGAAACTGTACAGGGGTAAAATACTTCCCTCGGGGAGTACGGTTTCAAACCTTTGTTCCGCACATAATTGTAAAAATATAAATTTCACAACGCAACCATATTGCACGCGTGTGTACCATACACAGTAAAACATAAATACAGCAGCAGCATTTCACACATATTTAACCGGGGAACTTTAGCGCGGCTGTTGGAAATTAGCCGTAATTGTACCGGGATCTATGTACTGTAGTACTGCAGTAGTACTACTACTTCCTCTACTACGCAGTATTTGCATGTACTGCGCTGTCTCTGTCCCTGTCCTCAGTGAGCGTGGTTACAGTTCATCCGTGAAGTAGAGCTGAACGGCCAGGTGAGCCTCAACTCGACCGTCTAACGTTACATATCACGTGTATTAGATAATGTATTGAAAGACAGCCGGTATCAGTCAGAGCGGCTCCAGCTGGAGGCAATCTAGAAGCTACTAGGAGGGTTTGAGGAGGGGGGGTGCGTTGTGAACTAACTTTTCATTTTTGTCTCGCAAATGCACAGACAAACAACGTCGAGCGAATGAAAAAGTTTCTCTCAAAGTTTGACTCCCATCTTGTGGCGAAACAGCTGTGCTCGATGTGTCAACTGTTCAAATCTGTCCTCTCCACAGATTCTTTTCACTCCCATGCCACCCAAGAGAGACGCGGGGACGACTCCAACACAGCCGCCTGTCAAGATGATAAAAATCGGCACTGACTCACAGGAGTTTGGCTGTGATCCAGTGGAGGATAAGTACAGGTTGGCCGAGGAGTCCAGCTACTCCCCCTTTCCCAACAATGAGGTGAGATATGCTGTTTTAATTGTAATTGTGCATAAAAAGCAACTGTTGTTTACCGTACTTGCACATTCGAGTTGTTTATGTGATTTCTTCTCATTTGGCAGCATGAAACCATTGAATTTGATGAAGAAAACATTCCAAGCCCAGACATCAGAACAGACACCATCAGCCTCCTCATGAAAATTGAGCAACTGCAGGCACAACTCAAGTATGAACGCAGATGTAGAATTCTGGCCGAGAGAGAACTGAGGGAGTTGAAAGGTGGGTGGAAAAAGATGACTGACTTATGAATTAATATGCTAACAAGAAATACCTGCCGAGACTACACAGTCCTAATACTGTATGTGACTGGGCAGGACATATCACACATGTTGGACTCTTTAAGTTTTATTCTGGTGTGTTTTAGTAGAAACAAATCAAGAGAATAATATATTACAGGTATGAATGAACTTGCTCTGTTTCAGCATTTCTTAAGTGGTTTCACACTTTTTACAGAGATGAACACTCTCATGATGCAGATGAGGCACACAGCACATGAACTGCGAGTCACTCTGGATCACGTTCTCCAAGGAGGCGAGGTGTCAGCAGCGCCGCAGACCTCTCAAGATGAAACCGTCTCTTTCCTGGCTGAGTCTGGGGAAGAGATGAGAGAGGACTTTAATATCCCAGAGGTCAGTGCTCTTATTCCAAGTCTTCTAACAACACAATTGTGGTTATCGTAGGAGAGCTTATCGTACAATATTTCACCGCTCCTGCTTCAACTGTTTGCTTTTTTTCAAGCTCTAGTAATAGGTATTAGACAATTTCACAAAAGTGACGATGTATTTATAGCTAACCTCTTTGATTTTTCTCTCAGGAAGATGACAACTTCTTGTATCTCACTGAGCATCTTCGAGTACCAAAAAATCTTTATGTGCGCATCGCCGAGATTGCAGACTACAAAAAGTACACGTCGGCTCTGCTGATGATACTTTTTGACAGAGAAACATTAGCCACACACTCTCTGCAGGGCCGGAGGAACACCTTTAGTGGAGAAGACTGCCACAAGCCTCAACTCCCCCCTGAGATCTTGAGAAGTCTAATTGGTAAGATAGAGAACATTTGGTATCACTTTTTTTTTTATCACACAGACCGTTTGTAGATTTTGTATTTATGAATTTGAATATGGGAATTAAAACTTTTATCATGTTTCTTCTTCCAGGTCATGTGGCAGTCAAGTTCGGCATTGAAAGCAGCCAAATAAAAGTTGCGATCCGTACAAAGTTGAATAATGAGGACAAGCTATTAAAGAAGAGACTGGGTATGGGTAAAGCTGAAAACAAAGCTATTATGGATCAAAGCCTTTGCCAAGATGCTTCACTCCTGCCTGAAAATGGAGCAATGGAAAATGATTCTCAGTTATAATCTTGAGTCTGCCTTCATCTGTTGGTCACCCGTTTTTCATTATCTGATAGAGATGTGTGACAGGTTGCCTTTTTAATCTACCTGTAGTTTATTCAGTGTTGAAATCTAGTGCTTGAATTTAGCTGTTTTTTCAACACTTTTTAGAATTTTTCTTTTTCTTTTTTACAGCTGTTGTCTGTCGTGTGATCCAAAAGTGTAACGTTTAATCTGGTGACCCAACCAATACATTGGACAGCACTCTAAAACGTTGCGTGTAATCGTCGGTGGTAAAAACGACCAAGTGTTCTTATTTAATTTAAGGTAGTAAGTGGCTGTGTCTAAGTCTTCTGTGAAGTTGGCCTTTGTCAAACATTTATACTGATTTAACTTTCCAATCAGTTGGCCTTTGTGTGTTTTTAAAACTAGGACATTTAAAAAATATTGGGTGCTATTTGTACCCTGTTCATAACAAACGGTACACCAAGTGATACTGTGCTTCTAGAATAGTTTTTTTTGCAGTTGCAATATATGCTGTAAATTATATTTAATCTTCAAAAAAAAAATCTATCACTTGTCTGTTTGTTGACTAAGTACGGGACAATAAACTTTTGGAAGCGATATTCTTCTGTTATGTTTACTTGGACCCTTTCTGACATCAGCTCAGTTTAAGTACTGAATGCTCACATTGGGAATTCTGTTGCAGCAACCAACAGATGTCAGCGCTGAGTCCCGTTTCATGCTCTTCTGCAAGCAATGATCAACTTTCGAAAGACTACAGCTGTTATGAATTCAAGGTTTCTGTTTCTTGAAAAGAAATCAAAAAATAAGATGAACTCAATTTTCATTAGAAAATACTATAAAAGTGAGTAAGACTAAAGAAATCCGTCCACTACTTCAGATTGTATGTGTTCTCTCGGAGGCTCTGGAGAGGAGAATAGAGGAACATCTGTAAAGACAGAGGCGTAGTGGACAGTGTGTGACAGTCACTGCCACATACTGACTGGTGTGTGTGTGTGTGTGTGTGTGTGTGTGTGTGTGTGTGTGATGGAGAGAGATGCTTAATGTCTGCGGGTGGCGGTTTGATAGAGTCATGTTGTCTTGAAAGATGTGAATTGAACAATTGGCAATTGCTGGCTCCTTCCCCCCCCCCCCCTCCTTTCGCTCAACCAGCTGTGCTGTCTCAGTGGGCACATCACCTCTCTCTGTCAGTGTGAATCTCCCTGGGGTCCATCACCAAGGCTCCTACGTCTGTTTCTTTGGGGAAAGCTACTATTTTTCCACAGTCTGTGAATAGCTCCTAATATATCTCTGGAAGGTGGACCAGCTCTCGTATACACCCGAAGACAACACCTGAATGCTGAGTTTGATGCTTTTAAAGGATTCAGGGAAGAGTCATCACCATGGAAAAACTCAACTTTACAAAACTCAGAGAAAACTTTGGAGGAGCTACAGACAGTTTTCACAATGTAAGAGTTGTTTTTGTGTAGTTGAGTAGTTATGCTGTTACAAGGAATATAAATTGTGATAATTGTATTTGATAATTAAATTAAAAATACTTTCATAATGTCTCTATTATGTAAGTCTGAGGCTGAGGAAAAGGCTGAGAAGTTATTTGAGTCAACAGAATTTAAGTTCAATGTCACAAATAATACATTGATTTGTCGTGACAAATTACAGTCTGGTGAAATTGAATCTATTAGATTAACACGAGCCCTGAGACCTTTAAGAGCCCTCTGGGGTAACTGATATAAATCAGCAGTATCTAAAAAATATTAAAGGATTTCTAGTGTTTTTGAGAATGAACTTATATGTCTTTGGTGAATATGATGGACTCTACTATTACAATATCCCCATTGCATCAACATGTTGCTGAATACAGTGTAGAAAATCCACTGCAACTCAATATCATTTTTGTGTAATTTATTCCTCAATGTGGCAAATTATGTCTGTTAACAGAGAGTAATGCAATACACATTTCAATATCTTATCTTTCACTTAAATTATATCTGAAACAAATTTTGTTTCATTTTTTTCATTATAATGCATATTTAGTCACTGAGAAATGTTAGATATTTAATGCATATATGTTTTTATTTTGATAAAAAAGTAAGTGGTTGTCATTTTCAAAATATAAATGCTTTTCATTACAATTGGTTATTAACATTATCAACAAAGGGTGGGATTATGAGGTTTCTCTGCATGGTACATTCCTCTCTAACATGGATTTATGAGGGATTAAAATACCTGCATAATTCCCTCATCCTCATAATGTATAGTAACAGAGAATAACTACAGCAGACACTAAATCCAATTCATGTTTCTCTGTTGAATTAATGATTAAAAAAGGTTTTAGAGAACTAAATAAACTGAAAATGACAGTGGTGCAACATGATGAAAAATGAGGGCACCCTTACATAATATGTATGAGAATGTACATGTACTAGTGCTTCCTGGGGACAAATCTCACTGGAAACGTTGCTTGCCAATAGCTATCCACCAGAGAAGATTACAGCATCAGTGGATCATTGGCAGGGAGTGAGCACATGTATTTAGGACACAGCATCCTCCACAGACATACGTTTGAAACCTGATTATGATCATCAGCACAAGATAGATACATGCATGGAGAGGTACATTAAAGATACTACAGAGGGAAGAAAAACTGCAAAAGCAACAATTTGATAATGAGGATGTATGAAATTCAGTTTTAGCATTTGCTGTATTTTGTTTAATTAAAATGTACAGTGAACTCATAATATATATTCAGTCAATGCTTTCTGGTTGTTTTTTATAAACTACACAGTGACCGCAGGTCTAACCTGCCTTGGTAAGAGGTTTGCTCTTTGATGGTGCGGTGCAGGGTGACACTGAACACATACTAATCAATGCAGCCACTTCCCCGCAGCTGGGATAAAACAAGCACACTCATTATCTTTCATTTCAAAAGGATGGGGACGGATGGAGGAGAGACAGGGTGTTCGCCATGAATTATTCCTATTGATTATGTCCTTCCCTCACTAGAGAGCATTCCTTCTTAAATATTCTCCCAAATAGTTATTGATTAACTTTCCAATATCTTTAAGGTGTGTATGTGCGTGTTCTCTGGAAGGTTGTGAGGGTGCAATGAAGATCTCTGGATGTTTGTATTTACCAATTATATCAAGCGCTTTTGGTGGGATACATTTTAAGGAATAAAATGGGGATTCAGTACTGTCTGTAATATGTAGTTACTGTATTCAATTATTAATATCAGTTTGGGTACTTGCTCTACAAGTACCAATGAAATGAACAAGCTTAAAGGGGAAGCTCCACCAGCTATACACCAACAGATTAGTTTACTTGTCATGGTTTGTACTACTCAGCCTGGAAAAAAAACCTAAAAAAACTGTATAATGTCTTCTGTGGCTCTGGAGGAGCCTTGTTAGCCCTAATGACATCATAGTGATGTCATCAGGGTTCATTGAAGCCTGCATTAAATCTGGAGTTATAGTTTGAAAGATGGAGACCTTTTAAAGTCAGAGAAGGTCTATTAGTTGCATTGTGGGAAATGTAGGATTCAACATTTTTGGAGATTAAAGCCAAGATATCTTAACTGCTTTGATTTTGAACATTCTTTTAAAATCGGTGTATCATGAGCCCCCTCACGTTCAAGTACAATACTATATTACTTAAGTAATATGCTGGTTGTTAGGAATCTGTTTACATACACGTTAACCATATAAACTCAAAAGAAGATATATTAGTTTTGTGTTCGCTGCTGGTTTCCACTAATTACTGCAGGTTTAAAGAATAAATGTAGTCTTTATTGAACATGATTGGAAATATATGTTAATCTTTTAATGAACTTTATTTTCTCCAACACAGGAGTGAAGATTACTTCATTTGATGTCTTAAGGATTCTTCGGCCTCATTACTGAACAATGAGGGAGTCTGGAATACAGATGTGTACTTTTACTTTGAAACCTTTACTATGAATCATGGAGGAAAACAGTTCATTTCTGAACCCTCAGTACAATGACAGCACCACTGTTTGGGCACCGATGCCCTCAGCTCCCAGCAGACAGCTGGGCACCCTTCCCAACCCGCAGACATGCTTCAAGGACCTGGCAGGGATATTTTTCATGGTGACCCTGAATGTTCTGGCACTTCTTGCCAACACTGCTGTTCTGGTTGTTGTCATAAAAGCCCCCCATCTCAGGAAATTTGTCTTTGTGTGCCACCTGTGTGCAGTGGACCTGCTGTGTGCCATCTTGCTCATGCCCCTTGGGATTGTGTCCAGCTCCCCATACTTTGCTGGTGTGGTGTTGACAGTACTGGAGTGCAAGGTCTACGCCTTCCTCAATGTAATCCTCATGGCTGCCTCTATCTTCACCATCACAGCCATCAGTGTGGAGCGCTACTACTACATCGTCCACCCCATGCGCTATGAGGTCAAGATGACGCTGAAACTGACTGCAGCCGTGATAGTGATGGTGTGGGTGGCCTCTGCCGTGCTGGGGTTGTCCACCGTGTTCGGGTGGCCGTCCTATGGCAGCCTGAGCTCCATCAGTGCCGCACACTGCTCGCTGTACTGGAGCCACAGTGACCACAGACGAGTCTTCTCTGTGTTCTTTTGTGTTATTTGTTTCTGCCTGCCTGCTGTTGTGATTTTTACCGTCTACTGTAATGTGTACAAGGTGGCCCGTGTGGCTGCCCGCCAGCATGGACCCCTGCCCTTGTGGACAAACAGTCAAGTGAAGCATCGCTCTGACTCAATAAACAGCCAGACTACCATCATCACAACCTGCAACGCCCCACGTAGGATTATGCGTGACCGGCCTTTTGGTGGAGGTAAAGCTGCTCTCATGCTGGTGGTTATCGTTGGCCAGTTTCTGATCTGCTGGCTGCCTTACTTCACCTTTCACCTATATCTGATGATAGATGCAACACCCCAAATTCCAGTTGACCTGAAGGAAACAGTCACCTGGCTTGCATACTCCTCCTTTGCTATTAACCCATTTTTTTATGGGCTTCTTAACCGGCAGATCAGGGAGGAACTTTGCAAGCTCAGGCGCTGCTACTCAGCTCGGCCAGTGGAGCTGGCCGTGTCCAGCCATGAGGGCTCAGGCCACGAGAACTTCCTGCAGTTCCTCCATAGGACCAGCTGCACAGTTGAGACACGTGCAAGCTTTGCCACATCCAGTCCCAGAAGCACTCTGGATCAAACAGGGCAGACTGATTTCAGGATACCAGGACAGATCCCTGAAGAGTTCAGTTAGATATACCTCACTGTTGTGCCACAGCATTAGTAGCCTGCAGGACTATCACAGCTACAAAATAACAAGTGACCCAGTACTTAATGACTGTCTGCAATACCTCTGTTAACTGTATCTGCATACAATGAAAGTTAAGATGTAAGAAATTAACTGTTTATGAAATTTGATACACTTTTTTCCTTTTATAAAGATCACACTCAGACACACTACTGGAATAGAAAGCTATGGACACCGTTTATTGAATTATTGTTACTGTATTTGTGTGTAAACTACCGTAAGTTACTAATCTTATAAGGAACACTTTGTTATTACTAGCTACTAAAACAAAGTTACATTTTTTTAAACCACCAATCATTACATATATTTTATGAAAAAGCAATGAACACAAATATCATATTATACTTGAATAGTAAGTCATGACAATATAATCAGTATACAGATCTACAGGTAAATACTTTCTCAAGTGAGCAGTCATTCATTTTTCACAAGTTCTTAAGACTAACTGTTTTTATAGGAGTTATCAACATAGCAGCAATATTCTTTGTACAACTTATTCAGTGTTGTTATGTTGTATTTATGTTGCAGGCAGGAATTCGTGTGAACTTTATTTATTGTACTCTATGAACACATCACGTTTTGTTAAAAAATGTATTGTTTCTCATTGCTTTAAATGTGCAAATAAACACTGGTTACTTTCATAATTTAAGCAGCTCTTAGCTAGTAAGCATTTTATCTTACAGTAAATATTATATGTGCATAGCACATTGGTCTGTAGGCCTTCTAAACAGATTAAATGTGGGCAAGAAAGTTGACTGGCCAGTCCGTCTTATAAATGGGGTTATTTTCACCAATAACTTTGTAGCAGAAAATGATTCACTTCACTCTGTTCACTTCTAATCATTAATCTTCCTTGGGCAGCCTGTAGCGGTGGAGGGGCAGCCAGGTGATCCAACTGTCCCGTAACCACGAGATCAACAGCCAGCCTCTCCATTAAAAGTCACATGTCCTGTCAATTTGTCAAAGTATCCTCAAGCTCACTCTCTGTAAATCGCTTTGGAGGAGTGTGCCAACTAAATGCTCTCAAGTGTAAAAGAGAAATTCTTATCTCTCTCCGATTACAAAAAGCAGTAAAAAGAGCCATCTGCATTAGCAACATGAGATTTTCATGCATGTGCACGTTTTCTGTGTATGTTTGACATCGTGTTACTGTGCAGACTCTCTGGGTCCTGACCTCCATGTGTCCATTTATGAAAAGCCTGTGACTAAGACTGAACCCAGTTACCACGTGATTATAGAAGGAGATAATGCCATTTCATAACAGGTGAAGTGGTTGTCTCTAATACCCTCTTAATATGTGTAAACTGGCAGATCAACAACTATTTATATTTAGAATCATTTATCTATGACGACAACCTGTCAAACACTGTGAACATTAAATAATGGTACGTTTGTTCTTGTTAAACTAGTTTAATTATTAATACTATTCACTCAATAGTAGGCAGTTAGATGATGATGTGCTGATGTATCTGTGGTGAATATTTTGCAGCTCTACACAGATGAGACTTAAGGGATCTCATCGGATAGACACGCTGATGAATGTCGACAAATGAAGAGAGTACGCTGAGCTAAAGTTTTACCAACCCTGTAAACACCATCAACTTAGAGATATAAACATAAATCATGTAAACATGTAAAAATAACAGACACACACACACAAACTGAAATCCTGAAACACAAGTATTTTATAGATACCCGGAAATGTTAAAAGCTAGATAACAGAGTTCCATTTAATGGTTCCTGGCTGTAAACACATTTACGTATGTGCTGCAGAGTTTACTGTAACAAGTACAGTCAAATATAGTCATCAAAGCTAACATAATAAAACAAGAAACCAGCAGTGATTTACACCTGCATGGAGGTTTGTTATACATAAACAGAGGCTGTGCACATATACAATTACCTCCCCCCCCCCCCCCCCCCCACACACACAGACACACACACACACTTACATGTCATCATTGTCACCACAATCATATAAAGAAGATGTGTATTTTTCTGTTTTTCTATGCTGCTCTTCCACTTCATCAACTCTTAAATGTTTTGTTTACCAACTTCATTATAAATTTATGCTGCGCACGCAAAACTTTATTGAAACCCGCAGAGCTTCATTTTTAATTGTTGTAAAGTTCCAAAACTTTGCAAAGATACCAAATATGTCTGGCTGATTTTTGAGGGTAATGTGTATAAAAGGATACAAACAACATATAGAATATCTTTATTTAATGGACTGGATATCCTCAATCGCATTGATCAAGTTTTTGCCCCTTCTTTTCTCAGAAAGAGAATAAAACACTGTACTTAAGTTACTAATCTTTTGAATATGATGTACTGTATGTAATGCAATGATACGAAAAAATAAAAATCCAGCTCAAAGAGCTGACTGCCTGTTTTATCCCCCAGCTTCCAAAGTGTGCGATTCGGTCTAATGAATATTTGAGCCTGAGCAGTCTTCATAAGTTGCTAATTAAAGTGAAGGACCTCCCATCTCAGTGGCGGCTTTTATTAAATCAAGACAATCAAATTGGCTGTACACCTCTTTCAAAAGCATAATCATTGTAGATCAAACACGAGTCCACTCTCTATAGAAAATGAGAATTAATGGCTTAGGCTCAGCCGAGTGGGGTTTGTTATTTGTCTGTCCTCAATGGTAAATCTGAAAAGACCCAATGTTCTTCTGTGTGCTGCACCCTGTGCTGTCTGTTTGACAGTGATTAAGAGAGACCACTCCTGAAGAATCAAAGGGAGGAGGTGTGATTGATGGTGCTGTACAACAGAGTGAAGCACATTATTTCATCAGACCTTCCAGACACAGCACGACTTCCCTCAGAACTGCATGTACACATATAACATGACATCTGCCCACCATCTTTATCGAGCTTCACGCAGCAGAACCTCGTGTTCAGTGCACTCAGGTCCCAAAAACTAATTAAGGGCCCAAAGCCATTATGAGACACGTGTACATATCACAGGCCCTCTGAAAAACACTCTTCAAAGGAATATGACATGTTGGGAAATACGCTCAACAACACTCTCATGTCTATCTGTTGATTATGAAGCTTTAGCCAGCAACTAAAATGTTAGAAGAATAATTGCTGGCTGTAGCTTCATGTTCAATTGACAGGTGAAAGATGAATCTGTCCTCTCATCTAACTCTCAGCAAGCAAGCGAATAAGCTTATTTCCCCAAATGTTGAGCTATTTCTTTTTTTATTTCGTGATGAATAATTGATACTTTGTCAAAGGGAATGTGTGTATATATATATATCTGACCCAATGAAGCTTTATATCCTTAATTGTTCTTTTCCTTTTTCCATTGTGTGGCAAATGTTAGCACACACATACTGTGACAAATTGTGTTTTTTTACTACATCCAATTTTGTTGGTTGTTTGGCATTTAAGGGGTATTTTGTGCAGATAATCCAGTGTTAAAAAAATAAATAAGTTTTCACAGTTTTTTTTTTCTTTTGGTGTCAGATGGGAAGCACCGAATACATAATTGCATTGTTAAATAGACGTGACAAATAATCAGTCTGACCTATTGTACTGAAAGCAGCTGGACTGACAGGTGCTGAGCCGGAACACTGTCTGACCTCCCTCATGCCCCAAATAAGCTGCTTCTGTCTGAACAGAGGGTTTGAACTGTGGTTGGAGTTAAATTCATGTCATCATATATAATGTAATATATAATCATATGAATATGATTAACATCTATCTGTACATGTTGTGCCTTATGATACAAAATATCCTATATTAATAATAAAATGAATAAACATTGCATTCATATTTTGTCTTAAATAAAGGGCCCTCATAGCGATTTCGGTTTATTGTCACATTATGTGCTGTAACGCTGAGGTCATGAGAGGGTCACAGGCCACAAATGTTGAAGAAAAACCTGTCTTCTAAATCAGCTTCATAATATGACAAATTCAATAAGTTATTTTTCTTTCTTTTTTACCATTAAGCTCTTTAATTGTTGACTTTTTTGACAATTTATAGGCTTTTTCATGGGCTGTAACACAACATACAAATAGGTGTTCATGATATTTATATAAGGAGCCAGAATTATTGAGTCTAAGAGGCTGAAATGTTTTCAATATCCCGGATGTCTGGATATATATCTTGATCCCCGCTAAATGGGACATCTTTGGGTAATCCGGAACCACAGGGTACAATGCGCAAGAAAATGTGTCTTTCTCTTCTCTTTTTAGTTCTTCTCCATCTCCCTATCTCTATACTCACACAGACACACACACACACACACACACACACACACATGAACTCACACTCTCCGCTGACCTCACCTGTGCAGCCACGGTCACAAACAAACCCCATCTGGTGAGGTGTGCAGTCCATTAGCATACCATCGTCTCCGGCACAGACACAGGAAGCTCTCTGTCATCAATACACAGTGTTCTCTCTCTGTCTTCATCCAGCAGGCAGAAATGATCATTACCATAGAGACTGTGTTTATTGTAGCTAGTGGATCTGGGAGCGCAGCAGCTCACTTATGCTCAACTCTGAACAGATGTACAGTTTGTTATGTACTTGGTAGTTTGTTTTGTGTTATGTACAGTAACTGTTCTTTTTAATTGGGTAAAATTTCCATTTTTTTGCTTCTCTTAGTATAAAAGTCAAACTCTTGGATCCATATCTTTTAAGGTTCATGTAGCATATAATCAATCAACATCATTTTATTCTTGAAGGACACTTGAGTTTTGCAGATGGATAGGAGTTACTTTGTATATTTACATTATTTGATCAGATTATCACATTGCCAGCTGCTGTACTGGTTCATTATGTGGGGAAGGTGATGATGCGAGCAGTGTGAGATGGCCTTGTGATGAAGGTCTGGTGGTAGCTGAGCGATAAGGTCTAACCCTGAGGATTCATAGCTGACCTATTAATAGCAGAGAGGATGACTGGTTAATGGGTCCAAAGGTTGTTAGAGGCGAAAGTTTTTTCTTCTTCTTAAAAGCATGCTGCGAAACATGCTTTACACTAGACAGAGTGTGCAGAGACCTGAGAATGCTCTTCATACTCAGCCGAGGAGGATATTGAGATAACATGCAATATATCGGATTGATGCTTTTGTTGAAATTGAACAGGCAAACAAAGGCAGTGAAGGATGTAAAGGAACAATTATCTGTTTTATGTTGGGGACAGTATGAAAATGATCCACAAAAAAAGGATTTTAGCCATAAAACGCATTTTTTTGTTTTCAAAGTCAAGCTAATGGGATCAAAAGTCAGTTTTGAGAAACAGTACAGACATGGATTTCTTTCGTTAGGGATTGAACGTTTTAAATATCTACAGAGAGCATGTTATTTTTCACAAGCCTTCAGTGGCTCATACCTTCACTTTATTCTGCATCTGTATACAGAGAAACAGCACCGTTTAAAGTTAAATGCCTAAATAAAAAACAGAAAGTTAGATGTATAGTTTATATAAAGTGACAGTGACAAATATTGGTTTAAAAATTAATTCAGATTCTTGAGAAAATGAATCTTACTTGCATACTTGTAGTTGCTCTAAAGAAGACAATTATTTTCCTCTACACCTCGACTTCTCTGAAGTTACATGAGGCTTAAAAATGAATGAAATCAGTAAGTAAAGGACTAGAATTAGTAATGCAAGTATATTATATCACTAAATATTCCAGTTAGAAGTTTCTAAACTTGTACTCTATCTTTGCTCTCATGCAAGCAGAGTTGTCTCATGTTGTCTGTGTATGTGTGTGCGTGATTGCGCATTCCCAGTAGGGTGTATCGGTGTATACAGAGCCATGCAAGATTACAGTATTTATATCCCACCCTGTCCTTCCTATCCCTCCCACAGCATAGAAAATGATCTTCACTTGAAAGACCATCTGCAAATACCATCCAGGGCACCGTAACGTTCCCAATATAACCACACATCCCAGCCAGCTGAGGGGTCCGGTCAGCGGCCTCAGTCTGAGCTGTACGGTTAGTGACAAGCACTCTGCTCTCTGGATTGTGTTTTCTTCACGTGTTTGGATAAACACCATGATAAAAGGGGACGATTCAAATGAAGTAGAAATTGATTTGGAGGACTCTACTGACTCTGATGAATTTGATAATGGTGAGGAACCTGAAACTCTCTGGAGGGCCGATCGTTCCGTGGAAGAAGACGAAGACATTCATACGTCCACACTGGTGGAAATCAGTGATACCAAGCCTCTGATAACTGTCCGGGACCCCCGTGGTATCAATGACTGTCTCAAGGTATTGCATTCTCATGCAGGACTTCTAATCAACATTGTTTTATGGATCCTTTGTGCATTTGTCACATGCAGTGAATTAGCTCATAAAAAATACACTAAATCATTGCCATGTAAAACCAAGATACTGTTTGGCTGATTGCACTGCCCTCCTGTGGATGAAATTCATTATCGACGGTGAATCAAGTCCAACAGCAACACAAATTGTTGATTCATCGCTGTATCATCAGCACCATTTTGTTTTTGTGTCTCCAGGTGACGTTTGAGGATGTGATTGCTGAGCCGGTGTCAGTGCGCAGTGGGGACAGAGTGTGGTTCTGGAGCAATGCCCTGTTTGAGGTGTCTAGGGTTTGGATCTACAGGATAGTGACAGTGCTTCTGGCCATTCCCATTTCAATTATCTCTGGTCTCCTCTTTGCCATCCTCAGCTGCTTCCACATCTGGTAGGTTTAGCTATTGCCTGGTTGTTTCTGTAAATATAAGGGAACAGCATATTCTCACCTACTTCATCTCTGAAATTTCTGCCTTCACCCAATAACTTGAAGGTTGATCAAAGTATATTTGTGGCACTCACATCCCGAAATGCTAACACCAGCATGCTAACACTCTCTCTAACACCAGGTTAACATGCTGATGTTTAGAAGTTATAATGCTTACCTTGTTCACTATCTTAGTTTAGCAAGTTAGTATACTGTTATTTTCTTATCAGCACTAAACACAAAGTACATGAGACTGGTGGAAATGTCCTTAGTTTAACAAGTATTTACAGGATCCAGTTTTTGTTTAGCTTTGACACCCATACAAGGAAGTTAAAAGGTAAAAAGAGTTTTTGATTTAATAAGAATGATTTCAAATATATGGTAAAGTAGTGATTGCTCATAACGTGACTAGGTGTGTTTTAACATCTAATCAGTAATACCAACTGGTTTGATACAAACAAAACAGTTATGAAACAATGCTAAGTTGAGTGAATGAGTAGTTTTGGAAAACATAAGAATACAGTAAGTAAAGTGTAATGTTGATTTAACGAAGTCTATTAAGGGACATAATGGTAGTATGCTCTGCTGTGGAAAAAGAATAACTGTGAATTGGCTGGAAATAACAAAGAAGGTTTCATATCCTGATTCAAGTTAAGAAATAATCAAGTTATAAGTATAAAATCCCCATGGGTTTTGGGGGAAGTAAAATAATGTATTCTTAGTAATTCTTGTGTTTCTTGACAGGTTCGTTGGTCCTTGTAGCCACTGCATCCTCATTGGGGCATGCTGGCTGCAGAGCCTATGGAGCATTGTGCTGGGCATCATTGTGCGCCCCTTCCTCACGAGTGCAGGGAGATGCTGTGGAGGCTTCAGCATTCACCTGGCCAAAGAATGAGACTGACACATCCAGACTGCAATTGTTCATTATGACTGGTGTTCTAGTGGACTGAGCCGAAGTGGGCAAAATGTTTATAATTTCATGTTTTCCACGGTTAAGGAGCATTTGATCAAAGTTCAATGGCATCTGATGGTCCTTTTTAATGATTATAGACAACCTTTGACATGTTTAAACAATAATTTGGACCTGTCACAGTCACAGAAGGTGATGTTATTCTTGATTTTATCGATTGGGTTGGTGAAACCAAAAAAAGGATCAGAGTTCCTAACATCTGAGATCCGAGTCAGACAATGGAGTCTCTAAATTTAACTTCTGTTCCAGTGATTGACTTAAAGAAAACGAGAATAATGAAAGTAACCATTTTCTCACACTGATACAGTCGGGTTACGACTTTGTGAGATGTCGTGAATTTGAAATCATTTCAGCATAGTTTGTTATACAAATGAATTGTCGTATCATCTTTATGTCCTAATACTTGGGGCTGGGTTTATTTTGTTACATTTTTAAACTGCAGTTTAGAGTTCAAGATAGTTTAAACTACTAGAGTCTAATTTTAATTATATAAGTTACTTATTTCAAACCAAAGAATATTTGGTTCAATCGAAAAAATAGAAGCACTTAGATGTATTCTTAAGGGAGGAAATGGCAATAAAATATATGGAAAAGTCATTAATGAACCACGTTATACTCATCATTGTGATTCAGGTATTTAAACCATGGTCTGTTACTCCACTACTAAATGGATAATATAAAGGTCAGCAGGATAGAGCAGATGCTGAGCTTTTACAATTGAATGACCTTTGTAGATTTATTCATGCTATTGTTATAAGCTTAAAAGCAAACGCTCTTCCTACGTTTATTACTTTATATAGGTAACATCTGAGTATTTAGGACTTTTTGTCCCTTTGTGGATGTGGATAGAAATGAATCAAACATGCTATATGATCTCACTATAAATCATGCAATCATGTATTATTGTGCAGTTTTGGCACATTCCTAGGGCAGCGTGAATTGGGAAAGGAGGCTGCTTCCCTTTTTGAGCTTTAAGCTCAAAGTTACATTGGAAGTTGTCACACTTGTACAAACCAATAGACAATGCTATAGTGTGTGAGTGGTACCCTATACTTGATGTGGTATATCAGCAGTGCCGCCTATATCTCTGACAGTGTGAGGTAGTCATTGCTGACAGCTGCCTGCTGGCATTCCTGGATCAGAAAAACCCTGAGTGGCATTTCAGTCTATAAACTGCCACTCCCCTCCCATGCCCTCCGTGGCTCTGACTGCAGCCACACACCCGACCTCTCATCTTGAAACTACAGCCTGCTCAGAGAGCAGGACCATGACTGAAATGGTCAGCCAGGAGCATATCAGTATCTGATCCAGATACTGATATGCTCCATATGGTGAGTATAAACAGTTGGCATGTTGCTTCAAATGTACAGCAAAAGAAACTCAGCAGAGGAACAACACTATTTGTTGGAGTAATTAAAAGTAGCCACAAGGGGGAACTATTATTCAAGGTTGATCCCACATAGATAAAATGAGCTTCAATGTGCCTAAAAGCTCAGGCTGCACTGATTACCACCAACCACCTAGAAAAGACGAGATGGAGTTGATAAAACATGTAGACACACACAAGGAGCAGTGGAAACAATTTACAAAGTGATTTTTATATTATATCATAAAGGGCAAACACTGTTTGATCTGCAGCAAAGAACAGGCTGCTGAAAACAATAAAACCAGCCCACTTGTTGTAAAATTCATTCCTTATGGATTTAGCTTTTGATGATGATTTTTTTGTTTTGTTGTTACAGTGGAGATATTTGGATGACGCAAAACCTCAAGAGGGGTATTATATAAATAACCTTAATATCATTCATGCGTATCAACATTTAGATTTAAAAACCGATATAATATAATAATAAAATAAAATGCTTGTACACAAAGTAATTCTCTCTTAAAGGTGTAAACAAGTATAGTAGTAACTTTGGTTGGTGTTGGATAAATATATTTTTGTAAGACTCACTGACTTAAAATGCAGTAAGGTATTGACTGAAAAGAATGTACTTGTGCAACATTAATATACTTATTGTGATAATTACTTGTCTTTTAAGGTTAAATTAGAAAAACAACTATTAGAACAAGACTTACAAACAACTTTTAAAATGCTCATTGACAGGATATATCTTCAAATGCTCAAGCCGACAGGGTAAGATAAATGATTTGCAGGTGCAGGGAGTCCAAAATGAAAGTGGTGTTTTGAGAAATCCAAGGGCATCAGTGAAGATCTGCACAGGAGTTTTATATTGTTTCTCTAACCCAAGAAAAAAAAGAAAAGAAAAGAAAAGTAGCTATGGCCACTGCAGTGCCGCTGCAGATGATTAAATGCCTGAAATGGGGGATTTGCATGATAGCCGGATTGCACGATTACAGGAAGCTTGGATGGTTATCAGCTGGCTCTTCAGTGTCCCAGTCCCCCTGTGCTGGATGTGTGTGTGAGGCTCCTCTGGCTGCTGGTGTTGTTGATGACGCAAGTGGAGGACTTGCTCTGGTGCCTGCACTGTCGATCACAGCTGCAGGAGGAGGCTGGCAGGTACTGTCTACAGCAACAGGAGAAGCACTGCATCAGGTCATGAAACAGGTGACCAGCAAAGAACATGTAGATCCAGGGGTTACAGCAGCTGTTGAGACTGGCCAGCAACATGGCGATGATGAATGCCATGTCTAAGGAGAGAGACAGAGAAGATCATGCGATTGATATTTTTGGTGAATATTAATTCTTACAGTGTAAATCTTTGAGTGTAGTTTATTTTGAGTCAATCCCACGTACACTATATTTTCTCATTAATACACTAAATCCAAGGCTGAAAATCGTCCCACAAAAATACAAGATTTGGACTATAACGTGAATTTTGGTCTTTTCATGTGATATGTTGACAAGGGGAAAAAGCATATAGTATTTCCAACCATATCCTTTAAATAACCCTTGTGTATGACAATATGGCCAGGGTGCACTCTGCGTCTCACCCAGTGCATGCTGGGATAGGCTCTAACCCCCTCCTACCCTGAATGGGATTAGCAATTCCGAAAAGTAAATGATGGATCTTTAAAGAGCCTCTAAAGTAGAATGTTTTTTTTCCATTCCAGTACGATGTAATCACCTGTGGGCTTCAGTCCAAATTCAGTAAGTGTGTGCGTGTGTACGTGTATGCTTGCACTTTTAAGAGTTTTAGACAGCATTATAGCTGTAGGGATGGTCTCAACAAATATTGGATCCGTTTGGACATTCATGGTCCCATCTGAGGACGAATAACAATAACTTTGAACCCCTAACTTTTCATCTATAGCACCATCATCAGGTCAATATTTTAATTTGTCCAATATTTTGGTTTATAACCCTAGCCTCGGCTGCATTTAATATGTCGTGGTAATTAGCATATGTTAGCGTGCTAACAGGCTAAGCCTCTAGCATGGCTATAAGCTCTTGTTAAAAATGTATATTAACATAACATTAAACAATAAGATGCCACAAGCCAAACACCTCAACTGGACAGCTTTGGACTCTGGATTTCATTTCTTCTAAATATCAGTCCTTGTGCACGCCAGATGCTCTTGCATTGCACATCGTTTACAGAGAAAAATATGAACTGACATGCTGAAGCATATCAGACAACACAAAAAACATTTGGGATTATCCCTGAAAAAATATGGAAGGTTGATCGATCCCACACAAATAGGATTTTAAGCTGCCTGACGCAAATATGATGAATGGCTTCATTTGTCCAGGATGGAAAAATATACCAGACTTTTCTCATTCATTTAAGTGATTCAATTTCTTATCTATAGAGGCACAGAGCGCATTGATGGAGCCCCCTATTTGAAAACTTCCATGTCTTTTTGTTCTCTAATCCTTAATAGGGTTAATAGGAGATTTAGTGTGTGTTGTCCTCTTCTCTTCTCAAGTGAACTGCCGAACCTGTTCTGTTCATGGTCCTCTGACTCTAGGTACTTTGCTTTATTGTGACCAAATGGCACGTCAAAACTGTGAGAAGTGTTCAACAGATAAGTTAAACCCCGTCCAGAGTTATGATATATTGGTGGTATGAGGAGCACAGTACTCTTATGGGTTACCAAATGACTGACAGATGAAACTTTTTTATTTTTGCTCTGGTATAGTTCACTTTGACCTAAAGTACATTCACCACTTTCTTGTGCTGCCAGAAGTGAAAGAAAAACATTCATCTTGGCTGCTTTTCTGTAATTGTAAGTGCAGCTCTTCTGAGATTGATGTTGGAAAAATGGAAATAGGGGGATGTTGATTTCAAAAGGAGGACTGTAGGGATATTGCCATAATTTGTTTGATAAAGAATACGCACAAAGATAACTCTGAGTATAAAAAGTTAAACAAACATTCCATGAGTGCAAAAATGAAGCTTCTCCTTTGAGCAGCCCTCAGCAATAGGAAAACTCACCTACATGAAGTATTAACCTGAGTGACATTACTCTACATTACATTAAGAGAATGCAATAACGTAAAGATGAACAAAAAGTCTGCAACATGAAAACGACTTATCCCCAAATTTTGTGATTTCAAAGCTTTCAACTGAAGAATTTTCCTTTATCAGTTTATCAGATGATTCACCTTCTTCCGCTGACATTCCGCTGACATTTGAGAAGCTGACATTTGGGAAATACAAGTTTTTCACAAGACATTTACAAGGAGTTCACTATTTCATAGTTCAACATTTCTACTTCAGTATGAATGTGAAATTAATGGACATTTTTTTGCAATGACATGTTAAGCATGGCTTTGGAACTTTTTTGCAAAATAACATGTTTGACATTCACAAACATAAATAGCCTAAAATTAAAGCATAGTGGTTGAGTCCATCCAAACAATATGAGGGTCCCTATGACAACATCCACTTCTGCATGCGTTCTTGGTTTTAATGTGTTTATTTTCTTAATTTGTACAAAACTATTTTGAAGCAGCCTATAGATTAGCTTGGCTAAATCGGGCCTATTTGAGAAATATCTTAATATCTTAACACTTATGCAATTTTGCTCCGATAACACCACTTGAAAGGTTACGGGGCATATCTGCTCCTCTGCTCTTGTCCCCTTTAATGGCAAACTCAAAAGATATGAGGGGTAAATCAGAACAAACTGTGCAGTTAAATGGTAAATGTAAACCACCACTGGGAAAAGAGAGTGAAACTCTTTGATGTCCTGGTACATTTACTCTCCCAGTGGCTCCGAGGACTGTCTCTGAACTGATAACCACTCCCATTCATCTGTGCTCACTCAAGTCTATTGTGCTGCCTTGGAAGTGAAGTGGATTGTTTCTGAATTCCCAGAGATATTTTCTGAAGTGGATATTTGCATGCATGAGACACTGAAATATTGTAGAGAAACAGATTTGCATCATATGGTTTATGGGCAATACATTTACCGATATTAATCTTGTATAAAGATAACTTCTCATGTCACTGAGTACTTGGCACACTGCTGTAAGTGGGTAATATCTTCATTAAATCAAGAACTGCATCTGTATTGTTAAAGAAAAGAATAAAACACGGAGAATGCCTTTACCTTCTCTTGGTGCAGCAGGATCCCATGCAGACCACATCTGGACAAAGAAGAAGGGAGTCCAGCACACAATGTAGGCAAGGACCACAACAAATGTCATTTTCACTGTGCGGATCTTTGCTTTTGAAATGAGCCTCACGCTGCTCACACGACAGAGGGGTTGCGCGCCTTTGGAGGGCCTCTGAGTGAGAGCCACGAAGTGGTCCTTTCTGGTTTTCAAATTGAAATTCTGCCATATTTTAAAACAAATCAAACCATAGCAGATGCTTAAAATTGCCACAGGGAAAATGTAAATGCTGAGACTCATCCATGTGATGTATGCTTTGGCTCCCCATGGCTGTATGAAGTCTCCCCAGCAGTCATACACACCGTTACCGACATCCCTCAGAGAAAATATGCACGCTTGAGGTGTGCTGAATATCAGACTGAGCATCCACGAAGCGACCACATAGAAGCGATCCTTTCTCTTGTGCACGGAACGAAGTGGCTGGCAGATTGCTAAGCACCTGTCGATGGACATCAAGACAAGCATGTAGGTAGATGCAAACATACCCACGACCTGGAGGTATTTGACCAGCCTGCACAACAAATCAGGCCCGTAGAAGCGAAATGTGATATCCCAAATGAGTTGTGGTAAGACCTGAAAGATTGCAACGACAAGGTCTGCGATGCTCAGGTGCTTCATGAAGTAATACATCCGAGACTGGCTGTGCTTGGTGGTGGGGATGGCCCACAGGACGCACAGGTTGCCGGTCAGAGCGAGCAGCAGCACCAGGACCAGGACGGTAACTTCAACTTTGGCCACTTCTTCATTTCGTTTCAAAGGATTCACTGTGGTGTTTCCTAAATTGCTGTAATTTGTCATTGAGTTGCTCCAGGAAACATTCGGCTCCCAACTATTCGGCTCGCGTAAAAAGGCCTCCATCGTGCGCAAAAGCGCCACTTCAGCGCGGTCAGCGATCACATCACAAAAAAGAATAGCACCGCTATCCGCTGGTAGTGTAGTTTCCCTTCGCAGTTTACTGTCAGCTCACTCTGTTAAGGTTGGTTTTGTGAGTTTCCCTCAGGTTAAATTGCAGTATAATCCAAAAGTCAGCGCTCTCTCTGCAGAGGAACATATTGTAACACTTATTGAAAATTACAAAACTATTTACTATTACAAAAATAATATGACCTCATAACCACACACAAGTGATTTTGTTAAAAGCAAAGCCTACCTTTCTAGAGATCCTTTGCACGGTCATTTTGGGATCCTGGAGCACCGCAGTCCTCACCACTTTCTGCGCACAGATTGATATCTGGTTTGTAGAAACTCCAAAGGATGTCCTACTAATGTCAGTAACCCCCTCCCCTCATCTTTTTTTCTTCTAAAGGAAACTGTCTGGCTTGAGTATGAGCAGACTCTCTCTTTCTCTCTCCCTCTCCCTCCCTGTGTCTTGCTCCCTGCACATTGAGTTTAGGTTTTGACTTTGAGGAGTGAGTGTTTTGTAAAATCAAATGTCCCTTAACAACATTCGGGCGATGCTATCTTGTATTGCGAGTCAATACGTTTAGCATCTACATTATTTGAAGTGATTCAAAAGAAGGAAAATTCCACTCTAAACCTACAGAGTTTTAAAGGGTCACTTGTTTTCCAAAGAAAGCCCCCAATGGAAATTACGTTATCCGGAACAGTGCTTTTGTTGAATATAAGTCTGTGATGCTGTGCTGTAAACAGGTTCTTTGTATGCATTGGATCATTACAGGTGGAGTCAAAAAGCTCCCGTAAGTCATGAAGGGAGGAATCCCAGAGTAAATTGAATACTTATTCAAAATAGTCATCTCTTTTTCAGGCCCATGCAGTACATTGAAGCAAAATGTAATGGGAAATTATGTTATAGTATAGATCGTAATACAGATATCTTGACCACGTATATAAGTTAGGTTATGTTATAGTATCATGTGTAATGTTTAAAGAATGTACTACTCGATGTGAGGAAGTCAGGAGATGATTTTAATTAGTTTAGTATCCAGGTGTCTTGTTATCTTGTACACCGTTTCTTTGTTGGTAAGACGGAGACACAGAGAGACCTTGACTAACAGACATCCTTTGTCTGAAATACTTTTACTCCCCTTTTGACGCATTATCTGAAGTTGTAAAGGCGTGAACCTTTGTGTGCATAAATGATGTTGAATATTGCATTTCGTCGAAGAATGTTTCACGCAGTCTACTGAATACGTGGTTGCTGTGCTTTCTTCCCTCTTGCGCAAGAGAATAAATGGAAAAAGACAACTTTGAATCTTCTGATGACTTCATTATTGATTTGAGAACATAAACTCTCTCCTCCCGATTAACCTAGAAATTTTCCACCACAAATATCATTCAAAAAACTAAAACAGCCATCCAAAATGTTCATTTTTGTTTAAATGTCAGATATATTGCTTTTGAATTAAACTCTTTATTTATTCACTCAATCTAAAGTAATCATTTCATTGTTTTTCATAACATTTTCACAATAACCTGATCGTACTTGCCTTCTGAACAGAATAAAGACCCTTCCCTGCATATGTTTCTGAAACTGACATAATGTAAATAAATCATTATTATAATATCTCCTCATTAAATGTTAACCTATTTCTTATTATGCTCAGCAACATAGAGGCAGGTGACTTTTGCTTTTGCTTGAGTAACATGGATTATTGTTCTCAATCATAACATGAACATGTGAACATCACATGTACAGTATATAATGCTTGTTCCTTTTGGTTTATTCACACTCAGTTGAACACTTGCAGGTGCTGTATTGGCAGCCATTTGTTCAGCTGAATAGCCCTTGTTGATGCCTTGTTAGATTTGTGCTAGATACAATCTGACCAGACACAAGGGCAGATAAATAGGTCTATTTTGTTGAATTCCATGTAACATCCAGTACAAGTCTGTGTCTGTGCACCAACAGCAGTGATCTTGATGTCCACAGTGAATAATTGAGTGCACAACCCACTGATATCCTGGGCTGTAGCCATCAGCTATCCATCTGTGGCTCAGATAATATAACTACAGTAACACCTTGTAATTCATACCACATGACCTTTAAACTGAGAGACTGTCTCGGTCCTGGCTCTCAAATGAAACTATTTGCTCAATTGAAATAGTTTTACTTTGCTTATGAAACACTCATCCCCAGGTGGAAGCATTTTAATACCAAATTAAATCATCTTTGATTGGCTACGCAAAAGTGATTACTGAAAAGTGTCTTGTTACAAGTCTTGGCAATTACTGTCTTTTCCAATTAAGTGGCACAGTTTGATGAAGTTATTTCCATATGTTCCCTAAAAATAAAAGAAAGTTGACCTGCTGGAGTCAAGATGAAGTTGAGATGGCTTGGGCACAGATGTGGTGATTCTCAGTTGAGGAGACCTGTGGGACATAACCAGGACGTGTGGGACTAAAGATTCAATTAGTGATCAAATAGTGAAAAACGTACTACTGCAGATAAGGTGACACTGTCTTTTTGAAAAGCCACCAGTGAAACATACAAAGATCAGAATGAAGGATAATAATTTACTGACTTTGCAGGCCCCTTTTTCAGCAAATAGAAAAGTAAAAAGATAATTTATATTAATATTGCAGTATATATAAGACTGGTAGTTGACATGCATTATTTTCCTGAATCAATGTAAGGGGGGTAAACTGTTAGACCTTTCATATGCAAGTTCTGGTTGATAAAATATACATTTTGTTCAATATATCATCAAACATTTCATTAAAAAACACTTTGATGGAGGTTTAAAATGACTGGAAAACTTGTATTGTATTATTTAATGTTTTTCACACAAGACACATTAATTTGTTCATCAAGACCGTCTCGGTGTGGTTTGACCAGAGTTCATTGACCTTGACTTGGCAACGCAAAGAAGCAACTGTCATCTCATTTTGATGCATTGTTGCTATATCTCGATTTGTGTACTTTTTTTACTGAGCTCCGATAAAATTACAATCACTCATTTGAAATAACCCTAACCCTGAGCAGAAAATGTCACGTTTAATTAGGACCCTAGACTCACAGTAAGAAGTATGAACAACACAGACTGTGTTGCACATAATGTTGCATACTGCGTGCTGTTGTGTACTCAAGGGCAACAGCTAATTTGTAAGATGATCTAACAGTGTGGTCATAAACAAGTTATGTAAACTCATAGCAAAGAAGGTCTCGGTTATGAAACCATAACATCACCTTATGAGAAACATTTGGACTTTTATGACGTAATAATGAATACCATAATGAGATAAAATTCAACGGAACATTTCATTGAGAGAAGTTGAAAACAGGGAATAATTTGAAAACCTTTGAATAATATCATCTCTGTTTCAGCTCCTGGATCTTCTCACGTTAGGGTTTGGTGTTCATTAGAAGCCTTTCCTTAAAAATAAACCTGCCTCTATTTTAGTGGCTATAACACTGTCAGCATAATGGCACTTTTCATAGTAATTGTCGGAAGTAACTATCTGCCTTATCTGTTCGACAATATTATGCTGACTTTGACTTTTCCCAAAATAATGATCAAAAGAAAGTAGCCGGTAAACTCAGAACGTCTTACCATTCCCACAATAATTATTTCAAACAAACTCATTGGGGATTTTTAAAAAGATCCCCTCTTTCCAAATATTATTACATTTATAACTGACTGTTTACTTGCCAGGCTTTCCTCTGCGTCTGTTCTATTTGCGACACACGATACTCACTGACACAGAGTATTTGAAAATAACCAGACCTGAACACAATAAATTGGCCCAAACTTAAAAGACCAAATGTTTTGTTTACTTCTGCACAATAACAAAACATCTAAAACACACACATTCTTTACTTTGTTTGTAAGAAACCTCCCAGAGCTGCATTACAAAGAATTGTGTATATATAACCTAAACTCTGACTGTTAATCTATACATAACCAGTTACATGGATTCAATAGAATTTACAACAAACACCACATTAAAATACACTTGCCACTTGTATAATATACTTGTTTTAACTTACTGTTATCTGTTTGTTTGTTTGTTTACTATATTATATTGTGCATTTTTCAATTTTTCAATTATGTCTCTATTATTGCACTGTGTTCATTGTTTATTGTTATGGACCATTTACCAAGTCAAATTCCTTGTATGTGTAACTTGGCAATAAACAGTTCTGATTCTGACATTCACTGTATACTGTAGATCTTACAGTGTCTGTATGAGTTTGTTATGCGGCCATAGACTCTTGGTTATTTTACTAACCAAGAATAGCAGCACAGCTACATTACACTAGCAGACTAGGACACATACTTTATGACATATAACTGGAAAATATATGGTGAAAGATATTTTGTTTCACACAAATACCTTGACATGACACAGATGAGTGACCCAATGAAGGCTCTCCAGGATGGAGACTGGCATGTAAATAGACAGAGACAGGACCCCGACCACACGTAAACTTTGTCTGACATCTATTCAAGTGCACTTGGCATCTATATACCTGATCTGTTCATCAGCATATTTTAAGATCAAGTTGGCGTGTTGTGACAGTCGTTTGACTTGGTGATGTAAGTGTAGAGGCCTGAGCACATGAGGGCCACTGCAATACAAGGATAGCAGACCGGTGAGTTGGTACAGCTGCCTTTCTGTGCACTCACACACAGGTGTAAACCAGCAGTCACTCTCATATCCCTAACCTAAAGCATGTGTGTGGTGGTGGAAGGGTCAGAAATCATGCAGAACTCAATCATGTTAGCGTGACTAACACAAGGTTTGTGTGAACGCTGCAAAGCAAAACAATTACGTCTCTGAAAGACAATCCTTTTCCACTTAAATGTGCCTGTTGTTCATGACATAGTTAAGGGTGGTTATACAGTTGGCAACTTTTATCTCTCTGGTGTATGTTTTTTCTTTTACATGATTATACC